CTCCAGCCCCTGCACCGAGGAACAGCCATCAGAAATGCATTTTGCATACACATAGTTTATCAGCAACTCACCTTCAAAGTGCTTGAAGTGCCTGGCCACTGTTCCGTTGTGAAGCAGGTGCAGTTAAGCTGAGCTTGCTAAGACTCTGTGGAAATCTCCTAGTTGGAAATGGTTCCTAGGATTGGAAGATCATTTCTGTATAGGTGGAATTAATGTGATGGGCTGTATATTCAGAAATGCCAGGCTTGAAAAAAGAAAAGCAGATCTGAGAGCTAAATGGCTTTCTTGCGCACCTAATATCTGTTTTTACTAACAATCGTAAGAAATTATGCTTTGTCTGGCTTGTCTTATTTTAATCAGCCTGTAAGAAACATGAAAATACAGAACATGTAAGATTTGTTTTTAAACCAAGTGTCCTTCTATAATCTGTAGATGTTAGAGGTTAGAGTCCATTACTTTTCAGCACAGTAGTAATTAGTAATCAGTGTATGTATTATATCCATGAAGCTTGTGTTGAATTTTCTCATGCAAAAAACCCCTCTATCTTCAATGTCTTTGTTTTTGTTACTGAATCTTTTAGCTAATATGAATTTTTCTGTCTGGTACTCTTTGGGCACTATATCCAGACAGCTTTTGCAGTAAGCCTGTAGCCCAAGAAAAATGTCGTATTTTCCCTACAATTTTTGAAATGAAGCAATTATTTCAGTTATTTAAGAGCTACTAGAACAGAAGAAACCTGAGATTGTCCTATGGAGATGATTTTTTCCACTGCCGTTTGAAAACTGCCTTGTAAAGCAATATCATCTGCAAACAAGCCACTAAGTGCAGGCATGGCAATTAGTTGCATAGGTGGTACTCTGTAACCTTGACCAGCTGTTAGGCTATAAAGGTACAGAGATACAGAGGACAACCACTGGTTGGCTGAATTTGGTTTTCTGTGTCATTTATTGCTGCAGGGCAGTACCTAGACTCAAGCAAGGTACAAGGACCATTCCTAGTCTATTTTTGTTTGCATTTGAAAAACAAAATATTTTCTGAGATTTACAGGATCCCTTCCCACGTCATAGAAGATGCAGAAATCAAGAAAATGCCCTTGAGATGGCAGATAGTATATGACGTCAAAGTAATGCTCACATTTCTGTACCTCATATTTGAGGTCACCCTAAGGACCTCCAAGGCTCCTTGTAAATTGTGCCTTAGAGAATTGAAAAATGATTATTAGCTATTTAACATTCAGAGTAAAATCTTGTTTCAATCTTGAACTGTGAGTTCAATAATAATGATGTACTTTTAATGACTGAGCCTTACTTGAAAAAATTTACTGTGTCATGCATTTCACTGGGGTTCAGCTTCTTGCTTGTTACCTGCTCTGGCAGATAGACTGCTGTCTGTCTGCAAGACTGCTGTCTATGTCTCCTTGCTTTTTCCATATAACTTAAATATATTCAGTAGAAATCATTAGCATGGGGATCTTGCCTCACCTTTCTAATGCAATATGACACATCTTGTCCTTTGGTTCCTAGATTGATTACTCATTACGCCTTCTTCCAGATATTAAGGCTATGCACATAAAATGAAATGTAAAAATCATTCAAACAAATATAAGTGACCACATATCACACTCATCTATGTCTTTATAGTCACTGAGTAGTAGCTGAAGTCATCCGGGACCTTTGTTATTGAAGGCAGTTAGGGTTGCCTTTTGGGCACAATCTGTTACTGACTTCAAGGAACGTAATAGTTTGGCTGGTATTCAAGAAACCGCTGATCGACACACAGCCTTTCCAACTGTTGCCTGCTGTCTAGTTTCTCTCATTATAACTTAATAAAAAGGCAACTATGAGCATTCACCAGATTCCTTTGCCTGCTCTCAGGGTCTTGGACGTTGACTTTTCAGGCCAGAATATTTAATGATGTATCAAATCTAAAATGCTAGCACCTACACTGAATACAGAATTATGCCCCTATGCCACTTCCTGTGTCAGAACCCTCACAGATTTTTGCAAACTATATTGCACAGATGTGTTTTCCTACCAGGCTGTCCTGAAAGGGTCATGATCTGGGTAACTATTGGTCTGAGAACCTTTTTCCATCAGCCATGTGAAGTCATTAACAGCATTCAAGTTACAGGCTCAAGTGCCAGGAACATGTGTCGGCCATTCAAACCTGCACCATCTTTATTTCAAGCATAAATTTCTCTATTGTCCCCTTTTTGGAATGAGCACTTGAGATGAGTGGCAGAAGCTCAGTGTGTTAGAAATAAGTATGATGCTAGGAAAGTGTTGAAGAAATTACCAGAATAACAGCAAATTCTTTGAAATATTTTCATCAAAAGCTACTGTTAGGCTGTCATCAACATGGTCCCCAGCCTTACTGTCCTTCTAAGATTCATTGCTTCTAGTTGGCATTTGAATGCTAGAAATTTCATCCCGTGGACTGTTGGATTGGATATGACCCTGCTAACTCCTGGGTTTGATTAATGGAAAGCACTTCATTCGGAATGAAACATAATAATTAGCTTCTTAAGCTATGTAAATTGCTAGCAGTGCATCACAGTTTTTCAATTTACCTTTTCTTCTCTAGAACAGAAAGCAAAATGTTTAGGAGCAAAATGTTGTATCCAAAACTCTTTTCTCAACAGTGTAAAACTTCTGAAGAAGTTCTACTTTTCTGTAGAGAATATTAGGAATTTCTGTGCAGCTTACACTAGATATTTGTCCAAAGGAGCAATGCAGCTCTTTGGGGGTTAGTGCTTCATCACTTGGAGAGGCTTAAGAGTAGACAGGATTGACAACTTGCCTCATAACTTTCTTGAGCTTTCCATTTTACATAAATTGTTACTTTGTTTTTCTTTCACTACTGTTGTGGAGTTTGATTCTTTATGGACATATTATGCAGAGTAGTAGGGCAATCACCTTAAACACCATCATGAGGAAGCCTGTTCTGTGCATTAGAAAATGACACAGCCTCCTGTGACAAGTAATACATTTGTTTTTTGTAAATCAACATGCAAAGCAACTTTAGTAAGCAGTCGCTTCAGCATTGTGCCTCCAGCTGAACATCCAGGCATGAGACTGAACTGTGGCAGTCAGGACTACATCAGCATTTAGTAGGTACTGGAGGGTGTTGTGGATTTTGCTCTTTTACAGCTGGTTCAGCCACTCCAGCCTATGTTGATAACTTCAGTTTATATCATCAAAAAATAAAACTACTATAGGAAAGATATGTCCTGCCAAAAGAAGGCCACTTTATTTCGTGGTCGGATGTCTTCTGTGCCTTGGGGCTTCATTTCTCCTAGTAGGCATAAGGCAGTTCAACACAGCTCCTAATTTTCTCTTTCCTGCTCTTTGATTTATACAGTCAACCTGTCACTTTAAAGTGTAAGTGCTTTCCAGTATGAGATTGATAGCAGTAGTGAGGTGGTTACTTGTACAAACTTTGGCCCAGGATTATTTGGGTAGTGTGACTATTAATATTAAAAATGTAATTCTTACAGTGGAAAGTTTTTGGGTTTTTTTAAGAAAGCAAATTTTGTGCTATTTCTGAAGGTGTCAGACTCGGCATTCACTTTATTGAAGCTGGATCACAACAAGTGGTGTTTTGTCTCCAACTCATACTGGTTTTTATGAATTACTATAGGGTGCAGTTGCTGCTTAGATCTTTAATGATGTCTATCATTATAGAAGTTCAGGTTGTTGCTTAATTTGTTGATTACTTTGAAAATTAGGCTTAAAAACTCCAACGAATGTCCAATTTTTTCTGAAATGGTAGAAAGCCTTGTGAATGGACCCTGACACGTTTTTGGAAGTCTAAACAAATGAGAAGATAAAGAATTGCACTTTGAAACAGCAGCATTCTGTAGTAGTTCTTAATACCTTAATTAGGAAGCAGTGGATTACTCCTATAGCATGAACAAATCTGATGATTAATAACTTATTGAATCCTACAGTGCCGAAGCCTTACTCTTTCACAGAATGTCACATCAAAGTACATCATAACTTTTATTTTTACCTGATAGCTGAAGTTGTATGAATAATACTAGCAGCAAACTTAAAGAGCACTGAGGAGAAACTGCCCTGTTTTCCTTTTTGGAAATTGGAAAATGGAGAAAAATTGTTTTAAGCAGTATTAGATATCAAGAACAGGTTCTGAGTAACACTGCTGTACTGTAATGCTTTGATTTTTGACAAAATACTTATGTATAAGATGGACAGGGAAGTGCTTTTAATGTTTTGGGTGGGCTTTTTCCTATTAAAAACAGTATTACATGGAAAAGGGAACTTTTAAATAGGGAACTGTGTTTATCTAACCTGCTACAAGAGAATCATTTGAGTAAGAGAATCATTGGGCCAATATAGTGCTTATTGGTATGGAATTCTGTTCTGGTGTACATCACCTACATCATGTGTTTGAATTGCACGCGCTCACACACACAGCACTATATATGCAAGTAGTATAGACTGAAGTCGATACTAGTGTTGTCTTAATTGTTTCTTCAGATGTACTCCACTTCTGTGATTTTAAACTTTTTTATTTTTTTCTTTTAGAATGTGACTGTGAAAATGCAGTAGGCTATATCTCTTGTTCACTGGAATGGGAATAACTTCCTATTTATCTGACTTTTATGAGAAAGCATTGACTCTCTTGATTTATCTGCTTAGATTGTGGAGGAATAAATTTGCAGCATAGTTTATGTAAATAACCATAAAGAAAGACACATAAAGTTAGGTCTTAAGAAGAGTTAAATTTTATACAAGAATCTCTAAGAGAAATGGAGTTTTACTTACCAAACAAAATTCACAGATTTTAAATATTTCCAGCTGAAAACTTTCTGTAATTTTCCCCTTTTTGTAATCGACAATCTGGCTGAATACTAGCAATGATACCTTTTGGGTTGAATTACTTGGAGTCGAAGTTCATTAATTTGTTTAAATATTGCAGTTCTATTTATAAATTTGTATAAATTTAGACAATGACTTAGAACTTTGTTTTCTTTGTAGTTATTTGAACTGCTAGGCCCTGAAGGTTTTGAACTCATAGAGAAGCTCCTACAGAACAGATCTCTGATTCTGGAAAGATCTTTGACTTGTCCAAATGATAACAGGTTCCAGACTCTGCAAGGTAAGCAACCACAAAATTTTTATTCCAAACCAGATAAAAAGTAGTTTTCTAACTGTTCAGTCGTATTTCAAACAGTACTGTCTATGTGTATTTAAAAAGCAAGCCAAAAAAAAAAGGGGGGGGGGGGGGCTAAATACACACCTTTTTAACACACAACAGTGAAAAATATGTAATCTTGGGAAACACTTTTTAAAAGAGATTCTTCTTCAAAGCCTGCAGTCAGCACGGGGGGATAAAAAAGGAACTCTCTGAACAGCTCAGATGATTTACTTTGCCATATAGGACAGTGAGTTTGATCTTTCAGCAATTATATATGTAATCCTTGTATTGCTTTAGGATGTGTGATCTGTTGAAAGAGGAGAATAAAAAGAGGAACCTGGCAATAAACAACCTCCTCCAGGTCAGAGAGAAAACACACGAATGTTCAAAAAAAGAGAAGAAGTTTCTACCGGGTCCTGCTATTTTTTTGCCCACTTCAGAAGCAGCCCGGCTGCTATCTAATATAAAGACCTCTCCTGTACAGAGACTGCTGACTATATCACAAACAACAAGCAATAAAGCTTCCCCCCCCGCCTTAAATGAACACATGTTCTCCGAACTTGTCAAGCCATGAGGCATAAAATTGGAGTCTGGAAGTTTTTAATTGTAGTTTAACATTTATGAACTCTGACATCAACTTTTCCCATGCATATAGGCACAGAAATGCAGAATATACCCTTGCACATGAAGCTATAGAGAATTTTTAATCAACCATAAGACTTGGAGACTCTGAATGCCTGTAAAGTTAGATTAGAATGGCAGTTATTAGGAGTTTATGGATGTATGTCATTAAAAAAAAGCCAATGCTTCCTTAGCACTGCATGCTACCTAAGATTTTATTCATGGTGTTCATGTTGCACCAACAACTTAAGCTAATCGCTACCAAGAGCCTTTTAAAATCATATCAATCTATCATGCCATTTATAATTAAATCATCACTTTCTAAAGCAAGTATCATCACAGCTTCAGTTCCAACCACAGCTTGGGCACTCAATGTGGTCTCATCATCACCTCCTGCGATCACTCCCCTCTGGTGGATACTCACATCCCTGTCTCTCACGAGCAGAGTCAGAAGCTCCTTCCACTTCACTGCGACTAAGTCTATTACAGCTGACTGAAATTTTCCATGCCAGTGACCACTCAGCAAAGCACATACAATTGTATAAAGTAGAAAGTGAGAAAGCAAAGTACCACTGCTGTAGGACAAAACCATTTCAGAGAAATCTTCATAAAAAACACCTGACACAATGTGAACTTACTAAACCTCTAATCCTTCACTAGAGACTCCTGAGAGGTATAGAGACAAATTTTAATTCTGTGCTCCTTTGCATCTGTGCACAAGTCCACCACCATAGCTCAAGGCTCTCTTGTTTTAAGACCTCTCACTTCAATGTCTTATTTCTTAGACCAGAACAAAACACTGCACACATTTTTTTTCTAGCAAAACATGGTATAGAAAGAGATGATTTTTCCCAAGTTCAGTTTATACACCTAGATAATTGTATTAGCTTCCTATCCCATCGAAAAAAAAAAAAAAAAAAAAAAAAAAAAAACATGGTCTGGTTATACAGAGGGAACAAATATGTATTGCATATGTTTATTTACTTTTCAACTGCCTATGGGCATATGTAACTTTTAAATGTATTAACTGTTGTACTGTATCTCTTTTAATGGATTACTCTGGAAATAAGTTGATCTTTGGTTATTCCTCATCTGCTTTCCTACTTACTCTCCACTTAGAATCATAGAATCATAGAATCATTAAGGTTGGAAGAGACCTCTAAGATCATCAAGTCCAACCGTCAACCCAACACCACCATGCCCACTAAACCATGTCCCTAAGTGCCTCATCTACAC